TTATCATTTCTTTTGAATGATTTTTTATATCATTTTTAGAAACAATCAAAATATCATTGATTTTGCAATTGAATGATGCAAAAGCATCTGTTAGAAATATTTATAATAAATTGTATAAATAATATCTAAATTTCAGATTAATTAAAATTTTAGTTTAATTTACAATATTAAACTGATAAACTTTCAGAATATTCTGAAAAAAATTTTTTTTTTTCTTTTTTTTTTTCCTAGTGAGGTGATTTTTGAGTGGAAATTTAACCTTTTCCTTTTTTTTTTTTTTTGTTTTTTTTAAGAAATTCTTATTTTAGAATTAAGGTAAATAAATTGGAAGTGACTTTTGTATTATTTTCCTTTTTTTTTTTTGTTTTTTTAGAAAATTTTTATTTTGGAATTAAGGTAAGCAAATTGAAAGGAACTTTTAAATGGTTTTAAATCTTTTTTATTATTTTTTTTTGTTTTTTAGGAATTTTTTTTTTCAAAACTAAGGTAAGCTTTTTGAAGGTGGTTTTTAAATGATTTTTAACACTTTTTTCTTTAGATGTGATATTTAGTAGGTTTTCTAACCATTTTCTTTATTTTTATTTTTATTTTTTTTTAGAAATACATTAAGTTAAGTCTTTTAGATGTGATATTTTGATGTTTTTTTAACTGTTTTCTTTACTATTTTAAGGAATACATTAAGGTTAGCCTTTTGAAAATGGTTTTTTAGTAGTTTTCTAACTGATTTTTTATTTTTTTCTTATCTTTAAAAAATCAAATGTATCTTTTTTGAATAAATATAATATATTATACATTCTTTTTAAGTAATTTATTATGTAATAATAAAATAAAATTATAAATAATAAATAAACAAGAAATGAGTTTTATCAGTTTTAATTTTATAAAAAGTTGTATAATTGATTTTTTGCTAATTGTTAACCAATTTTAAGCTGATTTATACTGAATTTTAACCAATTTTTAACATAAACGCTTATTGATAGCTGATTTTCTATTTATTCAAAATGCTGATTTTTTAGCAATGATCGGTAAAATTAAACTATATTTTAGCTAACTTTTAATACTTTAAAATATGATAAATTGTATTATTATAAATATATCAAACAAATACTAATTATTAAATGCTGATTTTTTTTGGTAATAATCAGCAGAAATTAGACTATATTTCAGATAATGTTTAGCATTTTAAAAAAGTGATAAAATATATTATTTCGACTAGTAATAGTATATTATATTATTATTCAAAACAAATGTATTTATAAATAAACCCTTAAGCAAAGATGTATTATTTTTTGATTATAATATTATGAAAATTTATTTAAAATACAAGATTATTCTTATATTAAAAAAACTTAATAATTTGATAAAACTAATAACTACTTTTATTTATAAAAAATCCTGATTATATAAAATTAAAAAAAAAAGAATAAAAATTAAAAAAATTTATTATTTTTTAATATGAAATCATAATTTTTCTTAATTAGATATCATTCAAAATAATAGTTAGCTAACAAATTATGTAATTATTTAAAATATATAAATTTATCATGAAAATAATGATATAATATTAATTTATGAATACAAATATAAAAAAATATTTTTAAATTTAAATTTTAAGATAAATCTTATAATCAAAGATTATAAATAAAAAAATGAATGAATTTTAAAAATGTAAATTAAGGTAAAAATGGTGAATTAAAATGGATGAAATCAATATATAAGAAATTAAGTTGAATCAATTTAATATTTATTCTTAATTTTATAATTGAATTGAATAATTTATCAAATACTTATAATAAAAAAAGAATTAATTATATTTGTATACTAATTTAAGTTAATTTTTAAATTATTTTTTTTTTAAAATAAACAAATTTAAAATATAAATTTTATTTTAAAACGTTGTGTTATAATAAATTACCTAATTTATTATATAAACTCAGTGAATTAATATTGGTCATCACGTGAAATTTAACAAAAAATAACTACCCAAGCTATCAGTAATCATCTTGTTGATATTTCCTAAATTGATTATATACAGTTAGTGTTCAAAGATTTGCATCACTTAAATAAAAATGTTAAAATAAAAATAATTTTTAATATAATACCCAAAAACTTATGTAAAAAGTTTCATTTTATTCGTAAAATTTAGCAAAATACATAATAAAAACTTTATTTTATAATTTATAAAAAAAATTGATCAAAAAGTAAAAATTTACATCAATCTATATGATGCGTTACTTATGATCATTTGTAACTATATATAAATTAAAACAAAATCATCAAATAACTAATGATTTAAAATTTAAAAAAACTTTTCAACTTATTCTTCACCATCTTATATATCCTCCTTTAGCTTTAATTATATCATTAATTCGTTCAGATATGCAGTCAACCCCCTCTACAGTCATACCCTATACAATCACATCATATAAATTTTCCGTTATAAGCACACCTTTCATAAAAATCAGTTTCTATTAATACTATATAAAAAAACCCTTCTATAATCACAATGTTATCATAGTCACATCATTTTGGAACTAATACTTAGTAATACTATAAAAAAATCCTTCTATATAATCACTTTTTACTATAGTCACACTTTTTATTTTTGGTCCTGAGGGGTGTGACAGTAGAGAGGGTTGACTGTACTTTAGATTAATTTGGTTAAAAATTCATCATTTATTTCAACCCATATTTTTTTGAATAGCTTCCTAAAGTTGATCCTGATTATGAACCTGATGCTCTAATTTTCTCAAACATTTATCTATTTCATTTCAAAGATGCTTAATAGGGTTGAGGTCAGGTAATTGTGATGGTCACTCCAATACATTAATATTATTATCATCAAACTATTGTTTTGTTAGGTTAGTTGTATACTTTGGATCATTATCCTGTTGAAAAATAATATTATTTTTATCAAGCCCATGCTATTGGATTGTTCCTAAAAGGTTCTCATTTAATATTTATTGATACAATTCTCTATTCATATTTCCATAAATACGTACTATATTACTAACTCCAAAAGAGAAAAAACACCCCTATACCATAATATTACCACCTTCAAATTTTACTGTAGGTTTAACATATTGATCTTGAAGCTGTTCTTTTGGCTATTTTCAACAATACTGATGCCTATCAGACCCAAAAATCATGAATTTAGATTCATTTGATCAGATGACTTTATTCCAGTCTTTAATTGTCTATCCTTCATATTTTTTGCAAAATTTAAACGTAACCTTCGATGTGCTTTCTTAAGGTAAGGTTTTTTCTTTTTACTCTAAAAAAAACCATTTCTATACAAAGTTCTTTTCACTATACATATATTAATATCAATATTATTATCAGTTTTAATTTTTTGAATATCTACTCCAGTGGAACATTCTCCAGTTAAAATTTGTTTAATAATAATCCGCTCATTTCATTCAGTTAAAATTCGTGGGCTGCTTATTTTGGGCAAATCTTTTAAAGAACCAGTAGTATTTACTTTTATTTTAGTCAGATAATATTAGATTGATTAATATTTTTACAGGAAGTAATATAATGTGAACTATATCTTTCTTGAAGGAGTGTATAAACTCTATTTTGTTTTCCAAGAGACAAATGACCCATTTTTAAAAATTATAATAATTTTAAATAATTTAAATGAAAAGAAGAAATAAAATAAACTTTGATCAATGAGAAAAAAAAATTGATCGATATTTTAATGATTTTTCATATGTAGTAGGAATTTGATTAGGAAATTAAATTTATTAAGTGTAACATTTTATATTAAAATGTCATTTTTTAAGTAACTTTGGTATTCTATTTTTTGATATTTTTATTTTAAATGCCAATTATCTTTTGATCATATGATATTAATAGTTACAGTTTTTTATTTTTGTGATGCAAATCTTTTGAGCGCCACTGTAAATTTATTGAAAAAACCGATTTTTTGATATAGCCTGATACAAATTTTATATAACTTTCAAAATTACATCTTTTTAATGTATTTTTGCTTACTCTGCAAGTTCTCTTAGAACAAAAAAAAAAAATGATTTTAAATGTAATTTTTGACTTTTTATATGTTATTTTGTAAATATTAATTTTCTAAAAAACGACATTTAAAACCTTCTTTAGAGCCCTAATCAAACTTGTAGGGCAGGCAAAAATACAATATAAAATGCGATTTTAAAACTAAAAAAATTAAAAAAATCAAATTTTCGTTTATACATGTAGTTATACCGGTTGACCGTAGCAATATTTATATTTAGAGAGTTTTTTTTTGATTTCCGGATTCGATTACTTCGGGGCGTAACGACCAAATGTTTATTCGGATTTCGCACCCTTTAGGTCCATATTTCGGGCTGGGTTCGCATGCAAAAGTTTGGGCAGTGAAGGGTGGAGGTGGAGGTAAAAAATGTATCCATAGGCCTCCTTAGTTTATTTAACACGAGCTTTTACTAAGATTCAAACAAAATAAAACAAGCATATGTAATAGACCTTAAGCAAAATTCCTTTGAATTCTCCTATAAAAAACTAAAAGTAACCATTTAATTATTTTCTTTAAAAACATTAATTGATCAGGGTTGTGAGATCAGTCAATGAATTAAAGTTGAAATTATTACTTGCGCCACGATCTGAAATTTCGATCAGAAAATCGATCGTCAAGGGAACAAGGCACAGCAATTTCTTTAAATTAGGCGCAGTCAATGACACATTCAACACACAACAACACATTATTTGTGGGTAATGGCTTATAAAGTTTATTACCACCAATCCTTTAAAAATATCCTCCTTGAACTTGGCTGTATGATAAATTTCATGATTTTTGCAAAATATTTGTGGGCATTGGCTTTTTGATTGAACTTTGCTGCTGTATGGTAAATTTCATACGATTATTCATGATTATGCAAAATATTTGTGGAATTGGCTTATAAGGCTTATTACCACCGACCCTTATAAATATCCCTCATTGAATTAACTTTGAAAGCTGCAACACCTTATATTAACATCGAACAAACAAAATGGTAGCAATCAAACTTTTTTGTGCTTTCCTTATTATCGCCTCTGTAACATTGGTCACCGTAGTCGATGCTTTTAATCCTCAGCTTATTCTTCAACTTGTTAACGACGAACGTAGAAATACAGGAGCTCTGATCTCACTTTAGACAAGTAAATTTTGTGATATTACGTACTATTATAGAAAATTTTACATTAATGATTCTACTATTCATTTAAATTTTTATAGTCGATTGACGTAAGCTGCTCAAACGCAAACCAATTACATGGTTATGACCCAAACCCTTACTCACGATAACCCTGCCGGTGGTGTAGGGCGACGTGTTCTAAATACTGGGTACATTTATAGTTTCGTTGCTGAAAATGTTGCTGTAGGATATAGTACAAATCAAGAAGTTGGAGTCATGAACCTGTAAGGATCTTATTGATTTTTATTATGAGATATAAGTTTCATTTATAATTCGAATTCACATTAAATTACACTTTTCTTTTATTAAAAAAGTTGGATGAATTCTCCCAGACATCGGGAAAATATACTTAATCCGGTATTCACTAATTTGGGAGTCGCATTTTGTGGTGGAACATATTGGACTCAAGTTTTTGCTAGTCCTCGTGAATAAACCGGCACGATTATGATTTAAATACATATTAAATTCTCTCTATAATTAATTCTATAAATAATAAATAAAATAAAAATTTGATCTCGTTTTAATATAAACGTGGTTTAATGATACAAATCTGTGTGCACTTATAAATAAATTCGAGCAAACTTTTGTTAAGTATCAAAACTGTGGTTGGTCTATAATGTATTTATAGTTTTGTGAAATCAGCAAAGTTAATATTGTAATCTTGACCATATCTTAATTTCGGTCATGCCCGTGAATTTCGCTTCGTGAGTGTAAAATTTCGCATTCGATAAAATTAAATTATATTCATTTACTTATTATATGGGAACGTTGCCAGTAAAATCATGTGATATATAATCAAAAATTATAAAAAAAGAATTCAACGTTATTTAACTATTTAGTAAACCTTTATTAACAACCAAAATTTTGTTTTTATTACTAACATCTTAATATTTAACAAATTATTTTAAATTTAAATAACGTTGCAAAAAAAGTAGATAATTATAAATTTTGGACAAAATAAAGAATATCATTAGGCTAAAAATTTGAAACTTTTTTTAATTGAGAATTTCGCGATGTTCTGACATCATATCAAATTTGAAACAACGACTCAATCACGGAGTATCGATCTTGAGGTATGGTTCTTGATATGTACAATATCAAGAATAATACTTTTGCGGCTCAGTCATTTGAAAATCCGAAGTCGACTTCCTAGCGTTCGACTGTCTCCAACGGCTGGTATCACTCTTTACTATATACTAAATACTGTATATACAAAAAGACAAACAACAAACTATTGAAATAACTAGTGTTTCGGGATTATTGTATTTTTCAAAATCCGGAACCATTTATTAAGTCCGAAACTATTAAAACTTCGCTGGTTAAAATTGGGCAAAACTAAAACTAATATTGAGACGCGTTAACAAACAAATTTATGTCACATGATTAATCTGTTTTTTGATTTTTATTGCATTTTAATATAATATCAATAAAAAATTAAAAAATTCTCAGAACCTTAACAAATCTTCAATATGACTAATGACGTGAAAATATAATATGAAGTAATATTATTGATAAATAGTATCATTTTTATACAAAAAAATTAGGTTTCGAAAAGTATTTTGGTGTAATTATGATAAACTGACACTAATTTAATATTAACTAAAATTTACTCTATTCCTAACTTTAACCTTAATATTAACTTAAAGTACTAACAACTTCTAATCCTATTTGAGTCTAACTTTGATCTTTTAAACTAAATATCGAATCCCAACTTTTAATCCTAACATCTTATTTTAATCTAAACCTAACCGGTTAAAAATTTTGTAAAATCCTAACCAATCGAATCATTGACAGTATAAAAGTAATCCTCAAATTAATACTGTATTATTAATAATTTGAAATAATAAAAAAAAAATTGAAAATATAAAAATTAATTATAAAAACTTGAGTCAATTATAAATTTCAATGTGATTAATAAAATCCGATAAATATTCTAAAAATCCTATGAGACATTAATGAAATATTTAGAAAATAATACATATTTATCATTCATATATAATAAGGGCGTTCTCAAGCATCTTACTCAAGGATCGAAGAAAAATTTTATTGGTACAATTGGTCAAGTGAGTTTATTATTTAGATGAACAAACTTTGGGGTTATAAACCACCTTTTTTTTTACAGTTACGTTGATTGGCTAAAATTTATCATTGATAGAGTATGGTTCAAGCACTTCATTGGTATTCCTATTACTTGTTCATTGGGTTTAGTAATTCTTTTTATTAGTTTTTTTTTTTCATTTGATGATATGGGAGCTTTGCTATTAAAAATGGGTTCCGGGGACTTTTAACAAAAAATGAGATTTTTGATTCATATTATAGTA